CCCCCCAGTGTCCTTAACAGACCATTCATTGACTCATATAAGGGGAGTAAGGTACATTTCAGTCTCTTGGTTGAAACAGTTACAACAATGCAATGTCATATTATCTCACTATTACATAACAATTCTGATTCATTTTGTCATTCATCTGTTTAGAAAACTTGTCTGTTTAGACTGGGTGGGTTTTTTTTAAGTAATATGTGTTTGCAGTCTTTAAGTCTCCTCAGAATATTCTGACCAACTTCACTTTCTGTCAGTGGCTGCATTATGACTCTATTACTCCACGCCTACAATTATTCCTTTTATGTTTATTATTTTTTCATTCAAGGACGGAAGGTGGCATATAGAGTTTTTCCTTGTTATATTTTTCTCCATTTTCTGCACCTTGGTAGGGTACTGCTGCGTCACTGCAGAGTGCTAAATGGCATTATTAGAGCATCAACTACAGAGAATCAGAAATATTTTGGATTATCTGAATCCCTTCCTGGAAGAGTTCAATCCTGGACATAGGACTGAAATCGCTGAATATCCTGAGTTAGGATCTTTTATAGAGCAAGTGTGCCTAGGTAGAGTTTAGTAGCATTCACCATGGTATCCTTAAAACCATTTATATGGTTATATGGATTGGGGTTAGAGGCACTCTCAAATGGCTATTCTACTCCTTTCTGAGTGGGTAGTTCTAATTGACAGTCCTGGAGGTCGAGCAGTCCAATACCTGGTCACTCCACTCCTTCGAAATCCAGAGACTGTAAGTTCTAGTCCTACTTTGGGCACAAAACCATCTGGGGTCCTTGGGCCAGTCTGTCTCTCTCAGCCCTAGGCCAAGAAAACTGCAAGAACTTGTCTAGGTAGTCGCTAAGAATCTGAAACGATTGAATGGAAGGGGGGGAAATATCATCAATAGATGGATGATACCCAGTTATATATTATCACCCATGGGCCATAGCAGAGGTGATTACTTGGAGTCTACAGACTGTGAGCAATTGAATGGGACAAAACAAGCTTAGACTGAATTCGAGCCAAAGGGGGTTACTGTTTGTATAAGGTGACCAACTTTTTTACAATGAAAAGGAGGACACAAATAAATTGAAGAAAAAAATATCATAAATAAAAGAAACATTTTATTCATTGCAACAATAATACAGACAACTTGCATGTGCAAAGTTTGTCAGCCGGGTGTTTTGGCACGCTCAGCAGCAATTCCTATTGGCTTTCGAAAGCCAATAGCAGGAGTAGCACAGCTCATGCAAAAGTTGAAAAAAAACATCAAAAAAAGGTGCCGGAACGCCGTTCTGAGCGTTCTATGAGAAAAAAAAAGCACTGCAGATTAGTCTTCAAATATCGAAAAGGAGGACATGTAGGAGGACACTTTTTGAGGGAGGACAGAACTTACAAAAGGAGGACTGTCCTCCTTAAAGGAGGACAGTTGGTCACTTTAGTTTGTATGTGGGCTCTCTTCTGGAAAGGGTCACAGTCCTCCTGAAAGAGCAGGTTTGTGACTTGATTCATCTCCTGGACTTATGGCTCCACTCGGCAGCAGGTAAAGCCATAGCTAGGGGGCATCATTTCCCAGCTTCAATTGGTGCATCCTTTATAGTTTGCTTGGACTGGAAAGTCTTACAATAGAGATTTATGCCTTTCTACCATGTGATTAGGCTATTGTGACATGTTCTACTCTGGGCTGCCCAGGAACTGCATTTGCTTCAGAATATGACAGCTTGATTTCCAGTGAGTGAGAACCACTTCAGCAGCACAACACTTGTGCCATAACCACTGGACTAGCTGTCTTTAGGTTTAGAAAACCAACTCAATGTTCTGGCCTAACTTGTAAAATCCCTACATGCTCAGGCTCTCTGTTACCTTTGGCACTGCCTCCTCTGATTAGAATCTGCCCACCCAGTGAAAGCATTAGTGTCCCCACCTCATGAAGGACTAAGAGGGTGAAAGGCTGGAGATAAACCTCAATGGTAATCCAGACATTGTAGAATAGCTCCCCAAAGTTGATTTGGCCTCACACTGTTAGGGTTTCATGAAGAGACAAAAAGTATTCCCTTGAAATGGACACTAGGGCAATAGTGGTGGAATTAAGCAGCTTTTTTGTTTTGTTAAGACTTTGTTGACTTCAGTTGTGGTTCATGTTTTAAGTTATGATCTAGCACATTTGATTGGAAGGATATTTATTCTGATTGGGTGGTCTACATAATAAAAAAATAGACACAACGAATACATGTTCTCAATGACTTCTGTACTGACTTACTGCAAGGTTGTCTGTTAGAGGTGGGCTACTGGCTACAATTTTGAAAAACAAACAATAGAAACATTATTTGTTAATAAATAATATTATTAACTTTTAAACCATACACAAAGAGGCAGGTACAGTATTGTTACAAAATTCAGCAGCTCGTTATTGCAGAGACCTGAAGACGGTGTGCCAAGTCTGTATTAGAATAGTTATGTTGCGTCTAAGTGAATTATTGAGCAAGGATCTGATTCTTGGTTTCCATCCAATAGAATGAGGGTGTTTCTCTGCGTATGCATGTGGTGTATTTTAATCATAGAGGTTATTCATGGCATTCATTGTATAAAATAGTTTCTGTCTCAACCAGTTTTCTTGCTCATCACTGGAAATGTGTTTGTTTGTTTTTTTGCAGAATATATTTATTACTCAGGGCCTGTCTCCCTGCACATGGAGAACATCCCACACGTAAGTTTTTCTAACTTTTATGAAGGGAAAATGTCCTTTGTCAAATGTCTAATAGATGCAGTAATGCTATGTTTATAAACAAATTTACTGGAGAAGTAAGACATGTTAAAGAGGAATGTAGTTGTCGCAACATTATCTAGTAAAATGTCATGCATAAGGATCATGTATTCTCATATGACAACCTAGGAGCAATTGATATTACTGCTTGACAACTGCGCAGGATAGAGGTACACAGCCTGACTCCCAGGGTTATTTGAGTACGCTAGAGATAACTGTTGCTACAGTACATTATAATTTCTAATGTGACAGACAAAGATAATAAAAACAGCAGAGGAGAATCATTAACAATTTTAAGCTTTCATTAAGTTTCAGTGTAAATCAAACCAAATCAAATGTAGATCGTATCCAGGCAAATTGTGAAGTGTAGCTCCACGTGCAGCACTCAATGACAAGTAGAATTTTTGACTTGAAAAAAGGAAGATTGGTTGTAATTTTATATGGCCATAATAAGAACAGAAGCCAGACTAAGGAAAATTTTGTTTGATCAGCAGACCTCTTCTTAGGAGATCACTAAAAGCATACGAGCAAATGATTTTTCACTAAATAATAACAATAACAATAATAATAATAATTTTCAATAATAAAAAATTATTCACACCTGGAATACTGCATCCACGTTACAAAAAAGATGTTGAGACATTGGAAAAATGCAAAGAGGAGCAACTAAGATGATTAAAGGCCTGGAGACTAAAACATATGAAGAACAGTTGTAGGATTTGGGAATGGCCAGTCTAGAGAAAAGAAGGACTAGGGGGGACGTGATAGCAGTATTCCAGTATTTGAGAGGCTGCCACAAAGCGGAGGGGGTCAATTTATTTTCCAAAGCACCAGAGGGCTGGACAAGAAACAATCAATGGAAACTAATCAAGGAGAGATGCAACCTGAAATTAAGGAGAAATTTCCTAACAGTGAAAACAATTAACTAGTGGAATAGCTTTTGCCTTCAGAAGTTGTGAGTGCTTTATCACGGGAGGTTTTTAAGAACAGACTAGACCAGGGGTAGGCAACCTCAGCTCTTTTATGACTCATGGGCTTCAACTCCCAGAATTCCTGTCAGCTATGCTGACTCAGGAATTCTGGGAGTTGAAGTCCATGAGTCATAAAAGAGCCGAGGTTGCCTACCCCTGGACTAGACAGTCACTTGTCTGAAATGGTATAGGATCTTCTGCTTGAGCTGGGAGCTGGACTAGAAGACCTCCAAGACCTCTTTCAGCTCTACTCTATTCTGATTCTGATTTAACTTTCTAATGCAATTGTGGAGAACTTGTGTTGTTGTAGAACAAGTCCTAGCAGTGACAACTAGCATGCCAAGTAATAAGGGATGCTGGAAAGTTTAATCCAGCAGCATTTAGGGGACTTCCTGTTCTGTCCTGCCCTAATAAGTGATGGCAGTTAACTTTGAAATACAGGCAATGAAAAATAAAACCAGAAGAATTATGTTTGTAAAAAAAACTTATGCAGACTGGTGCTTGTTTGAAATTAAATATATAAAATGATCAACTTTGTTTAGGAAAGTATGATACAAGAAAGGAGGGAGAGAAAAATGCAGGAAGTGCATATGTCACCCTGCTAGTTGTAATTAATTACCCCAACATCCCCCACATTATCCTGGTATTTTAAGGTTTATAAAGTGCAGAAAACCAGCAGATACAAATAATGAATCTTCAGACAACAGGATCCTCAGATCCCTTTGCTAAAGCAAATAACCTGGTCTTCCTTTTGCCTGTGAATGGATTGCTTGGTGCCTTCAAGGGATTATGCTGTAGCAGCATGAGGGAAGGAGCACTTTCACCCAGTTAAAATGATCTCATCTTATTGGTCTTTCACAAGACATTTGAAAGTCTTACTTCCCAGTTTATTTCAATGCCAGCTTCAGTTGCAGGATTCCTTTTGACAATTGCCACATATTACATTGTTCTGACTAACTCAAAGCAACAGCCACAGTAACATTCTAGAAGAGAAGTGGTAGTCTCCACAAATTAATTAATTAATTAATTCCTTCAGAACATATTCCTTCCTTTCTTTTTCTTACAGGGAGAATTTAATTTAACAGCTGAGCTCTTCAACGAAGACCATCACACAGTTATTTGTGCTGATTTTTACATCAGTAATCACTGAGAAGTTGCTGTTTGTTGCTTTTCGAGCTGGCATTGCCTAGACCAGTGCTTCCCAAACTTTTTCATTCATTACATAAGAGCACTTATTAAAAAAAAACTTATTGACCTTTGAGGAACAGCTGTTAAGTCCCTTCCTTCAGCACCATCGTAATTTTGAACGGTCACTGAAGGAATGGACATAACTCGAGGACTACCGGTACCCTAAAAGCATAAATGAACTTCATATGATTTCAACAGATTATCATTTGCAATTTCATCCATTTTGGTCTTTGGGAGATTTTTGAATAAAGTTTAGTACACGTGCCAATCTTTAAGTCAGTTTAAATATCCCTCTTGTGATGGGTAATGGGCTTGTATGTTGTTACCCCCAAACCCTCCACTTCCACCCCATTTTCCTTCTAACTCTCATTCCCATCAAAGCAAGACAGAATACCCTTTTTTTCAGTTCCTTTGTCAGTGCAGTTCATTTGGGATTTATGCAGGAACATCCAAAAAGTCAAGATGGTGGCCACCACTGTGTGATTGAGACTGCCATCTTTATCTTTTTGACCATGCCAGCAGTGCAGGCAACCTTGCATGAAAATGAGTCTTTTGAAGGAGTAAGTATGACAGAGATCCATACTTCTAGGAGCCTGGAGCACTACACTGAAAAAAATCTTGCACTGAAAAACAAGGCTTGGACAAAGCAAGCTAATGAAGCCACAAATGGGTAAGTGCTGCTATCCACAGCCAGCTGGATCAATAAACGAGCAATTTTGCCCTCACCCTCTTCCAGGAAAAAAGACAAGCCCATCTAGCAAGCTGGTCTCATCTGTGCTGGATGGAGGGAATGCCATTTTGGAAATCCACTGCAACGTTGTGCATTCTCTGAACATACTCCTCAGCCAAGAGATCAGCTTAGTCAGATGGAGGGCTGTCATTTGGTCAGGAGACATGAAGGGAATTTATCTACTTAATTTTGTTCCGATTTTGTTGTGAGGTTTCCTGGGCTGAACAAAATAAGAATTCAACCGTGGTTACTTCCACACACAAAAGCTACAACTCAATATCTTGCCACTTTATTAAATAAAAGGTCATTTTCTGGAAAGGTTTAGATTCTGTCAGATCTCATGAACAAATAAATAAATATATCAGCTAAAGCAGATATGTCAAACTCGCGACGTCACGTGACGTCACGCAACGTATCGGGACGGTTTTGCCATTGCCGGCAATGGGGTGGGCGTGGCTTCCGGATGATGCGTCCGGCCCGCAGGCTGGCGGTTTGACACCCCTGAGCTAAAGAATGACTCTCTAAAAGAATGTGAATGATCAGCTGTCTGCAAGGAATATAAATCCTTCCATTCTCCACCATCCAGTCAGAGCTGAAGAAGCTTCTTGTGTGAGAAGCAAAACATCTTCAAAGAATAACAAGAAAGTCAGTTGCCTCTTCAAAAAGAACCTTTGGGACAACTATGAACTGAATGACTGAGAATCTCCATAGACGTATCAGCTAAAGGAAAGAATCCATTCACAAGAATATATAAAAATGAGCTCTCTGTCTTTCAGAAGTACATATACAGAGTTAAGCCATAAATATTTCCTTTATATAAACGTTAATTAGATTTGATGAAATGTTCACAGCTATGAAATAGTTTTCATTTGAGATTATGATCCATTTAACCTAAATCCAGATTTGTCAAATGCCTGTCTCTTGCTTTGGAGATGCATTTTTTTGGTTTTTGGTTTGTTTGTTAGTACTTATACCCCACTTTTAGTTCAGGAGCTCAAGGTGGTACTTGTTGTGCTTTCTCCGTCCACTTTCCCCCACAACAAGAGCTAGATTGGGCTGATAAAATGAAACTGGTTCAGTCACATAATGGGTGGACCTCATTCTGAGTCTCCTGGTGTCAGTCCACACACCTTAATTGCTACATTGCACACTGGAATGGCTACACATATTTTATTGATTGATGGTATTCTTCTTCCCCCCACAATCAGTTCCTGAGGAAAACTCTTAACTGAAAATGTTAGTTTGAGAGCCTTTTAAGAAGAAAATGCTTTTCTTGTAACAGCTTCATAGTGTGATTTAGCACAGTGAACACTGGTCACAGCTCCCTCCATGGAACAAAATTAATCTTCTGGTTGAAAAAGAAACAAGTGGCTTCAGAAGCAAAAAGGAACACTACTGGAAACCCTGTGCTGTTTTTGAATCACAGAAAATTTTCTTCTTCTAGCTTCAGTTTTTGTAACTCTAGGTGGAATTTTCACTCTGAATTTGTTGGCGATGTCCATTTTGCTCTCTGAGTTCATGGTGACCTAACCCTAACCCTAAGTAGAATTTTCCTCCATTGGGATTTTCTCATGTATTTAACCAGGAAACATAGACAGGGCAGCCTAGAAAAACCAGTGCCCTCCTAACCATACCCAAGTACTCCGAATTTGTTGGCGATCTACATTTTGCTCTCGGGGATACATAGTGACCTAAGTGAAATTTTCCTCAAATGGGATTTTCCCATGTATTTTATCAGGAAACATAGAAAGGGCAGGTTAGAAAAGTCAGTGCCCTCCTAACCATACCCAAGCACGCCGAATTTTTTGGCGATGTCCATTTTTCTCTATGACTTCAGGATGACCTAACCGTAACCCTAAGTTGAATTTTCCTCCTTTGGGATTTTCCCATGTATTTACCAGGAAGCATAGATAGGGCAGCCTAGAAAAATCAGTGCCGTCCTAACCATACCCAAGAACTCCGAATTTGTTGGCAATGTCCATTTTGCTCGCTGAGTTCATGGTGACCTAAGAGAAACTTTACTCCAAAGGGATTTTCCCATATATTTTATCAGGAAAGATATATAGGGCAGCCTGGAAAAGTCAGTGCCCTCCTAACCATACCCAAGTATTCTGAGTTTGTTGGCGAAGTCCATTTTGCTCTATGAGTTCATGGTGACCTAACCCTAACCCTAAGTGGAATTTTCCTGCAATGCGATTTTCCCATATATTTTACCAGGAAACATACATAGGGCAACCTAAAAAAGTCAGGGCCCTCCTAACCGTACCCAAGTATTCCGAGTTTGTTGGCGATGTCAATTTTTCTCTATGAGTTCACGTTGACCTAACCCTAAGTGGAATTTTCCTCCTATGGGATTTTCCTATGTATTTTACCAGGAAGCATAGATAGGGCAGGCTAGAAAAGTCAGTGCCCTCCTAACTATACCCAAGCATTCCAAGTTTGTTGGTGATGTCCATTTTCTTCTATGAGTTCATGGTGACTTAACCCTAACCCTAAGTGGTATTTTCCTCCTATAGGATTTTCCCATGTATTTTACCAGGAAACATAGATAGGGCAGGCTAGAAAAGTCAGTGCCCTCCTAACCACACCCAAGCACTCTGAATTTGTTGGCAACATCCATTTTTCTCTATGAGGTCATGTTGACCTAACCCTAACCCTAAGTGGAATTTAACTCCTATGGGATTTTCCCATGTATTTTACCAGGAAACATAGATAGGGCAGGCTAGAAAAGTCAGTGCTCTCCTAACTATACCCAAGCATTCCGAGTTTGTTGGCGATGTCCCTTTTGCTCTATGAGTTCATGGTGACTTAACCCTAACCCTATGTCTGTAGTGGCGAACCTATGGCAGATGTGTGGCCACACACACCCAATGGGCCATGCCCACCCGGCACCCAACGATGTATGAGTGGGTTTTGGTTTGCAATTTGAGCATTCAGTCTCTAAAAGGTTCACCATCACTGCTGTAGACTGTGTATGCTGGTTGATAGTAGCAATCCAAAGTTTTAAAAATTCCTATTCCCTAGCCCTAGTGCTGGTGTAGGCAACCTTCGCTCTTTTATGACTCGTGGACTGCATGGCTGGCGCAGGAATTCTGGGAGTTGAAGTCCACGAGTCATAAAAGAGCCAAGGTTGTCTATCCCTGTGGCCTAGTGGAAATGTTGAAAGTGGAAACTAGGATCTTTTCTATGCAAAGCCACTCCAGCAGAGCTGCGTATTCTCTTGCTAGTTTGAAACTTTTAAAGTAGGATTTTTTTATTTTATTTTCTGTTATCAGCAGAATTTAAGGTGCTTATACATTGGCTCATTAGCACTACTGAAAGTTAAGTCTGTCAAAATATTGTGCTCCTTGAGACTCAACCATGTATCAGCAAACCAAGGGAGAAAGCAAACCTAGAAGTGCAAAATCCAAGTCCTTTTGATTCCCACAGCAGTCAACTATTAACCCAGTTGAATCTCTCCGTGAGAATGTTCTCACAGCATCTAGTTCATGATTGCCCAACCTTTTGGCTTGCCTGGGCCACACTGAGTGAAGAGGAATTGTCTCAGGCTGCATATAAAATATATAATGTCATGTGTCTGATTAACGAAACACTTAAAAGGACTTTCAGGCATATTTTCTCCTAAAAGCATTTATTAAGGTTACAGAGACGTCAGTACAGCATGGTGGAAATGCTTAGGTCTGGCTTCTCTTCCGTTACGCATATACATTTTAAGGATTTCCACCACCCCCCTTTTGGGGTCATGGTTCACATCTTCCAAGCTGATTGGAAGATGTGATTTACTTCCGGTTTCTTTTTCCCGGGCTATCCTTGTTCTCCTCCCTTTTCTCTGTTGCCTGGTTTAACTATAAAAATGCCAGACAGTTCTGCATATTGTCAAAGCAAGAATATACAGTATTTGCAGCGTTGACATATAATATAGTTAATATAAATAACAAACTTCTATTTTTAAAAAAATATTTTTCATTATCTTGTGGGGCTGCATTGCTAGCTGTGCAGGGCCACATGCAACCCATGTGCCAAGTATTGGATCCTGATCAAGATCAAAAACCATTATCACCATGACAGTGCCTACTATCCCATGAATTCTGAGTCTGGAGAGGACTGACAAGTTCCTGTGATATCACAGCCCTTCCCCATTTGACAAGCAAACAATGGCAGTAGACATGACTACAAACCTGCTGACGCAGTGGTTAGAAAGCAATATTGCAGGCAAGCTCTGCCCACAGTCTGGAGTTCGATCCTGACCGGCTCAAGGTTGACTCAGCCTTCCATCCTTCCAAGGTAGGTAAAATGAAGACCCAGATTGTTGGAGACAATATGCTGACATTTGTAAAGCGCTCAGAAAGTGCTGTAAAGCACTATGGGGTGGTATATAAGTCTGAGTGCTATAGATATTGATATTGCAACCATTCACGATTTGTGAGGTACATTCTGTTCATGGGCAGCATGTTTTTTATGAAGACAAGGGTCTGGTTTTTCAGCTGCTCTTCTTCAAATCTTTTTCTTAAAGGACTAGAGATGCAGAGTAAATCAAATAAGTCAGTTGAAATTATTCCTATTCTTCAAGTGATTGGGTCAAATTAATTTATTTATGTCTGACTGGGTCTGTTTAGTGTTAAGTCCTGTGATTTATTGACTGGAGTGATTAAGCCCTGTTACATGTTTACAAACCTCACTGTCTGATAGCTGAGCCACTGTGCAGTGCACCTTGTCTAATCCTCCAAATTAAACAGGGTTTGATCTGGTTAATACTTGGATGGGAGACAACCAAAAAACCCCAAGGTTTTGTGTTGACTAACAAATCAATAAGCCTCTAGAAGAGAGCAATGAATGTGTCTATATAACTGGGAGAAAGCTAATACTGTACATAACTTACTAAACACTTTGTAGGGTAACAAAGTGATATGAAAAACAACACTCCATCCCTTAATGAAACTTTGCAACTCACGTTCTTCAGTGATGGTTAAAGTGGTATCTTTTCTGGTAACATTTGCTTAGTCCTTTCATAACTTACGATATTAAAACCCAAACGTAACCTTCCTTTAATAAACTGTAAAACCATCCTAGTTTTACAATGTACTAGAAAAATCTTTCATGTATGCCTGAATACAAAGCATGGATTTTTATGAACTCTACACTCTAAATTATAGTATTCATATCCACAACATAGTAGGGACTTAAATGCTTGCAAAATTCATCCACTTCTTGTAATGTCTCTGTAATGATGAAGCATTTTATAGAACTTGAGCAGCATGGTGGCTTTTTATAATCCAAATCTATCTTCTTAATACATTTTTGTCCTTAGGTTCTTTAAATCAGAAATAGCAAAATCCAAGCCTATGAGCAG